TCATTAGAATTTGATTTTTCTAAATTTTTCTCAATCAAACTTTCCTTTTAATGCATATCCCTCTATTCCTTTGTATACTTTAGTTTCTAAATCATCAGAATTTTCAATTTCCATGATATATAGGGCTTTAATTCCACAGAATTTTTAATATAGTGCTCTGATACCATTTTTGTGGATAAAACAAAAATACAATTTTAATAGTAAACAAAATCTTCAAATTCTTGGGTTTAATATGTGGAAAGAGTTAATGGTGAAGAAAAGTTAAATTTTTATTCAAAAGGGGAAGCAATTTATCAAATTTTTATAAAAGATTAAAATTTTAGGGACTAAAATGAAATTCATTATATCTTAAAATGACTTGTTAGACAATTTTTTATTTTGAGGGCATTTTAGGAAGTTTAAAACTCTAAAATGGTCAAATGCCATTCTTGAATTATGGCTTCAAATTTAGGCTATTTCTGTGTATTTCCCCATGTTTTGTGAGGAAAAAAACGCGGGTGTGACTCGTGCCGAAACGAAGAAGGAAAGATTTGTTTGGAGAGTGAGGACAGAGAAGATTCTTTCTCTCTATTTGTGTTTTTTCTGTGTGAAGAAGATCTCATCCTCTCTACCCTAATCGGATCTTCTGCGATCCATCGAAAATCTCTCTTCCAACAGTCTAATACTAGAAAATTTTGATCAATTTGATTATTATTTTTTTGTTCTTTTTAGGGTTTTCCAATTGATCGATCGATCAATTGATCGTAATTGTTATTTCAAATCAGGCAGGTATTTTTGGTAACCTGAATTCCAATCTTTTAGAGTTTTTGTTTATCATTTTACGGAAAATCCGAAAACCCTTATTTTGGAAAACAAAAATCCCCAAAAGAAAATTATTATTTTTGATGGCTACAGCAACTAACCCAGCCCCTAGTTCTTCTTCGGCTCATCACTCCCCTAGGAGTCCCAATTCAAGGTGGGCCTCGGCGGGGCATGGCGGCTCATCTTCGTGGGCTCAGACTGTCCGTGACTGTGACTCGGAGTATGTCATCTCTTCTTCTTCCTCGGCTGCGGCAGCGGCAGCGGCTGTAAACGGCGTGCTTTCTCCACATTCTTCTTCCTCATCTGGTGGTGTTGTTGCGGAGGCAAGTGCGAATTCCTCTTCTTCACCAGCTTCTTCCGATTCTTCCCCTTTCGAAGCTGCTTCTACGCTGGCAGCTGTAGCTGGTTCTGTGACCTGTCCTTCGATGGAGAGTGGTGGTGCTGCTTGTGCGGTTGAGACTCCGGCAGAGAGTACTGAGCATGTTGGGGGAAGCAGCGGCATCAATGCTACTAAGAAACCGGCTTGGAACAAGCCTTCAAATGTTGCTACTGCAGAGATTAGCGCTGTAATGGGGGCAGTGTCTTGGCCTGCTCTCTCTGAATCCACCCGTTCATCCCCAAAGAAGTCATCTTCTTCTGATTCTCTCAAAGCTCTGTCTGATGGACCAGTCTCTTTGTCACAGGTCCTTCTATATGGGCACAATTATGTTTTACATTCTTATTTTTTTTGCTTATTGATTTAATGTTACACTTGAAGTTCTTAATTTTCTGCTATACACAACTCTAAAATTTACTTTGACGTATCTGTACGTCTTATGCTGCATTATAATAATTAATGTTCATGTACGTCATATGCTGTGGTTTTAGATGAAAGACCATTACAGTTGGTTTTTTAGTATTTGCTACCGAGGTTGGAAAATTTGACTTCTCTATTTTTATACTCATGCCTGTATGATAGGGAGCTGGAGTAGGCTTTTCGTCTACCCATAAACAAGATACCAGTAGTAACACCAACCCTATTTTAGCACCCCACTATGCCGGCCTTGCCAGGCAGAGGTCTATGAAGATTGATGGTGGCGGTATGAGCAATAGTGATGGATCAGCTAATGACAACTTTTCTCAGTCACTAGCAGCAGAAGGTGCAGTGGTGGAACTAGTCTCTAATAATTTGGGTAAGTCAAGTGGCTCTGCTGGGGAGTCTTTTGCAAAGGATAACATGAATAGGGAGGCTGGGCACAGTGGAGGATCACATGGTGGAAATGTGCTACAACAGCAGCGGAGTTCATTTAGAAGAGGCAGTGGTGGTCCACACCCCCGAGGGGATGTCTCCCATCATCATGGCCGTGGTGGCAGGCGTGATCGGGAACGTGGGAATCAGGATTGGGATACTCCTCATCGAAGTTTTGGCAGCAGAGAAGGCAATATGCCTCAGCAGAGAGCTGCTTCTAGACCTTTCATTCGCAGTCCAGTTCCTAGTACACATTATATTACCCCTCCTCCTTTGGCTGTGCGACCCTTCGCTACTCCGATGGTTTACACTGGTGAGATTTGTTAATTATATGATCATGTTTTCATATTTTTGTCCTTGTACTGATGTTCTGATATACTTGCAGAAGTGCCTTCTCCTGTATATTATGTTCCAGGGCCTCATCCAGATCCTCTCAGGATGCCTATGGTTCCAATGCCGCCTGTGATTTTTCCTGTGTCAGATCCTCACTTGCCTAACAAGATAGTGAATCAGATAGATTATTATTTTAGGTACTTAATTATGTGGTTAGTTTCTCTTATCAGGAAATCAAAATTATATTACTGTCTACCACCATGCAGACACTAACATCTTGTTTTCTTTTACCCATTTCTTATTCCAGTAATGAGAATTTAGTTAAAGATACCTTCTTGCGCCAGAACATGGATGTAGAGGGATGGGTTTCAATTCATTTAATAGCCGGTTTTAAGAAAGTAAGTTGCCGAGAATGATAAGTGTCTTTCTGTTCATTTCTTGAAGTCAAATTGTTCTTTTGCCTGTCTTTTCATACAATAGTCCATAATAAGTTCAATATGCATCATGCTTCATGTAGATTTATTGGGCAATCCTAGATCCCTGACTGATTTTCACGATGATATTTTAAGTGAAGGTATTAGTTGCCCTATGCTTGGTAATAGGTGCCTCCAATTTCACATCTTAGTTCTTACACCGGGGATTCTTCCTTGCTCCCTCTATGAGGCATTCACCTTTGGTATTTGCTTTTTCACTTCTGCCTTGATATTTATGATTCTCCTATAATTTTAATCTTGGTCCATGTCACCTACTGAAATTTTAAGAGCACTCTGTAGTTTTTGTAAAGGGTGGGATCTTAGTGTAATTACCAGATACCTCACTATGTGGTATAATTTGCTTGAACTTTAATGATTTGATGTGTTTGAGTTTTATGGCTGTTCTCGTCGGCAGTTGATATAAGATACGAGATGAACAGCTTTGCTTTTTATATTTCATCTATGGACTTCAGGCTTTATCTATTTGTGCACTCGTTTTTTCCATGTCTTCTTAGCTGTGGCTGGGTTGTCTCTCTTCTTTGTTGAAATTGAACTGTTAAGTTATGATGCAAGTCTTAATCAATTCTAATGATATGAGTCTGGCAGTGTTGCCTTGCCTCGAAATGTCTATATCTCAAAGGACGTGAACATGTATGTCACCAACTACCAGTATTCTGGCTTACATGTTTATGGGAATTTTAGTATTTGCTAAGTGATGGTTTTGAGAAAGTTCTTGTAGAAGCTCCTTTAGTGAAAATAATTGTTTCCCCAAATTAGGCTCTTTCAGTATATGCACCTAATTTTACGATTGAAACTAATGAATCATTTAGTTCATCTGCCTTCTGTGGGAATCCATATATTTCTCATTTATTTCTTAAGATTCGATTTTGATTAAATCTTTTTTTCAGGACTTGTTTGTATTAAGCTTTAAAACTTGTCAAGATTTATTGCTAGGTGAGGAGGAACCTACTTTGGATATAGATGACTTCTGGTTGAATTTGATATTGACGTTTTGCAGTAGCTTAAATGAGCCATGTAACAAATCTATGAGACAGTATTTTTCGGGACAGACTTGATGGACATTTCATTTTGTTATGTGTTATTAAGCTGAACACTTTCAACTTCTCTCAACTCCTTCATTCTTCTAAATACCCAAAATTTAATTGGAGAACTGAACATCATGTTCTTTGGATATGCCATCCTTTTGAGATTGAACTGATCATATTGTGGGCTAGTGTGTGATAATTTTGAAATTGTTGGAGAAGCTGCTCCTTTGTGGTGAAAAGGTGAAATTAGCTGCCTGGGGCTTTTGACTTGAAAAACAGCTGATAATCACATTTCGATTGGGATGTCCTTAATGTCTGTTGGTCAGGCTGGACTGATTGTTGGCTCCATGGTGAAAAAAAAAACTACAATCAGCTTACTCAAATTTTCCTTGAAGTCACCGAACAAGAAATTAGTTATTTACTAAGTACTGGGAATAAATATTCGCAAGATATGTTGGCTAAAGGAAACGGGAGTTAGAGATTCAAAACCAAGTCAAGTGCATTAAGGAGATAATAATCTTTAATTCAGTGATGATATGATAAGAAGGATGAGGGATTTATTTAGACAAAGTAATTTGAAAGAAAATTGTGCGGTCTGTCACACTATTGATGATAAACATGTTAACTATACCAAAAGGATTTAGATTCCCAAAGTGAGAGGCTCTGAAGAAGATTTAGATGGTAAAAGAAATTGGTTGTGATTGATACCCCATCGAAGTGTGGAAGGGTTTAGGTAAGCCGGTACTTTTTGGTTGTCGAACTTGTTAATGAGATTTGAAGAATAAAATAATGTTTTCTAAGAACAATGAAATATTTTTTTGTTGGCAAATGGGTTTAGGTGTTTTATTTATTAGAATAAAAGAACATATTCAAGATTATGCAAACTATAGAGTTATGAAGCTCATGAGCCATAATATTAAAATATGAAAAAGATGGCACCATTTGATTGAGCATAGGTTAAGGCGTAACTCAGAATTTTAGATCTAGCGTGGTTTTATGACTGAGATTTATCTTCAAGCCTTTAGCTACTTAGGGGGTTGTTGAGAAAAAAAACATAATTTGCATATGATTTTTGTAGGAAAAAAAATACTCCAGGGTGTACAGGGAAGTGCTACAATGCTTTTGAGAATAAAAAGGATTTTCTGTTATTTATATTACATATTAAGCAAGGATATATATGATTATTTATATTACATATTAAGCAAGGATATATATGATTAAGTGCTCAAGAATAGCATGCAGTTGATAGTAATAGAAAATTTCGGTTGCAACAAGATTCTGCCAAAAAATTATTTTTTATGTTTTAGTGAAGTACGAGCTTGTGGACATATTTAAGAAAGTCTCTTGGTATATGTAAGTTGATGACATGGTTTTAATAAATAAGATTGGGAGGATCTTAATAGGTAGGAGACAACTTTGGATCAATACTTTGAAATCCTAAGATTTTAGATTAGGTAGAATAGAACTAAGGCAGAATATATAGAATACTCTTTTATTCATAATAGGAATAAAGACGAAGAGAGAGAAAACGAAAGAGGGATCTGTGCATTTGTGTGTTTTTTAACACGTGTATTTGAGTATAGTTGCTGCATTTGAGGCCACAACAGGTTTTCCGGCATAGTTGCTCAAGGGAGAGGGGTTCAAAAGGAAGGGGGAAGAGTGGCCGTAAGGAGGTTTGTGTTGTAATTAATGGTGGGAGCATTTTGGAGAATAACAGAATCAGGTCTGGCGAGCAAAAATGTCAAAGAAAAACTTCTGGACAGTTGCGTTATGCCTTAGAATCTAGAAACATCTTAAGGAGGATTCTTTTAACTTTTAGTTTTTGATAGCTTAATTGAATCATTTAGAATCTATAAGCTGCATGCCCAGACAAGCAAGATGATTTTTTAAAAATCGCTTCATTCTCATATTGAGCAATTGCAAACAAGACCAATATTCATTTTCATCTCATGAACTCTATTTCCATGCATGGCCTGTTCAAAAAATGCTATGATGCTCTTCATAACCTACATAAGAAGCAGTTGAACCATTCTGCATTTATGACTGCTAATTTCCTGTTTTCAAAATCCACAATTAGTTAAATTGCAGATTCCAGGGTTTGTTAGACTGGTTGCCAAATAATGAGCTTGGTGCATGTGATATCCCAATAGAATTGTACTCATGAAATTAGCTAAGATCTTTGTTTTTTATGTTTTTGTCTCTAACAAATTACTCTTCACGACTAAGATTGAGAAATTACCCGTGTAAACCATTGTGAATATAGACCTCGTCTTCAATTGTCTTAGTTTCCGATCGGATATATTTGTCAATAATTCAGCTGTCTTTTAATTTGTCAATAATTGTACGTGTTAAACTAATGTACAGCATTAAACTAGAACAATCTTGAGTATGGTTGGAACCTGTCGTTGCCCTAGAAAATATTGATATTTTAGTGGTTCAGTTAAGTGAATGAAAACGTCAATGTCAATTGGTTTGTGTATTTTCAGCATCCAAAATGCATGCAACTTTGAGCGAATTCTTATTAGCCATTTTGGTAAGCGTAATATTATCTTTGATGCCGGTTACAGGTCATGCAGCTGACGGACAATATTCAACTTATACTGGAGGCTGTACGAGCGTCAAACGTTGTGGAAGTACAGGTTTGAAATATTTTTGCAGTATTTTATCAACACCACCTTTATTCACTATACATTAAAACATGTCTCATGAGTCATGAGTTCTTTTTTTATAATACTTTTGGCAAAATGAATAGTATCCTG